TCCTCATCAGCTATGAAAAGGTTCGTTTCCAGCGACATTGGTTTGATAAGTAAAGTCATTACTTGGTAATAAACTGCTAAAACAATGTTTTCGAATATTGCCATATTGCACAATGTCAGGAAGGTTTCTAGAACGCTGTAGTAAAAATTAAGAAATATCTAGAACGCTGTAGTACTAACTAAGAAATATCTTTCTTGTCGAGCTCAGACTGTTAACGCTTAAAACTCATTCAATACTACTTTGATTCAGTAGTCAATATATGGTCACCACCAAAAAGCATCCAAACGGTCCGATTACAGGTGTCCAAGTACAGCCAACTGTACGATTACACTGTCCGATTACAACTGTCCAGAATGATTAGTGAAAAATAAAGCAGCTAATGCACTAATCACATCTGAAAAAATTGTAATGGTTATGATTAATAATGGTAATAGAACCGAAGGGCGGCCGATGTAGTTCCTGAGGCTTGCTTCACTGCGAAGACCGAAGATCGCCATGATAAGCTAGACGCGATGGACCTCAGCGTGATCGCAGTCGCTCTGACACTGCCATGATTAGTATGAATTTTAACAGTTATGCCAGTTTGGTTATATTTTTCATCATTCCTGTTTTGTTCTGTTCTTTTCTAAGGCTTTGTATGGGACAACGGGAGGTACTTACAGTGCACGCGTTTTCCGTCCTGTCATGGTGGTGACTCATTATGAATCCAGATTATAAAATCATTTAGTATTGCGTTACTAAAAATAATGTTTCCCTGATAACAGGAAAGGATGGCAATGGAAACCTCATAGCAGAAGCCATGATAGCTTTCATGATCATCGCCTAACTTGTTTCCGTGTTCCTGCTCAACTTATATCGCATTCAGAACGCCATTGAGATATGGCTTAAGAGTATCTCCAAACGGCACTTGTCATCGGAACTGAAATTGGCGACAGAGAAAGAGAGGCAACTGAGTACGAAAACCTTCTTTCCTTCGGGCACTACGACAGGGCTCAAGAGTATCTCCAAGGAGTGCTTGTCATCAAAACTAAAAATTGGCGACAGAAAAGGGGAAGCATCATGTTATGGAAACCTAGGTACTGTGTTTCTGTCGCTTGGGCGACACGACAAGGCCAAAGAGTATCTCCAAAAGGCGCTTGTCATCAGAACTGAAATTGGTGACAGAGAAGGAGAGGCAACGCACTACGGTAGCCTTGGTACTGTGTTTCTGTCGCTCGGGCAATACGACAAGGCTCAAGAGTATCTCCAAAGAGCGCTTTTAATTATAACTGAAACTGGCGACAGAAAAGGGGAAGCATCATGTTATGGAAACCTAGGTACTGTGTTTCTGTGGCTCGGGCAATACCACAAGGCTAAAGAGTATCTTCAAAAGGCGCTTGTCATCAGAACTAATATTGGCGACAGACAAGGAGAGGCAACTGACTACGGAAACCTAGGTACTATGTTTCGGTCGCTCAGGCAATTTGATAAGGCTGAAAAGTATCTCCAAAGAGCGCTTGTCATCAAAACTGAAATTGGCGACAGAAAAGGGGAAGCATCATGTTATGGAAACCTAGGTACTGTGTTTCTGTCGCTTGGGCAATACGACAAGGCTAAAGAGTATCTCCAAAAAGCGCTTGTCATCAGAACTGAAATTGGCGACAGAGAAGGAGAGGCAACTGACTACGGAAACCTAGGTACTATGTTTCGGTCGCTCAGGCAATTTGATAAGGCTGAAAAGTATCTCCAAAGAGCGTTTGTCATCAAAACTGAAATTGGTGATAGAAAAGGGGAAGCATCATGTTATGGAAACCTAGGTAATGTGTTTCTGTCGCTTGGGCAATACGACAAGGCTCAAGAGTATCTCGAAAAGGCACTTGTCATCAGAACTGAAATTGGCGACAGAGAAGGAGAGGCAACTGACTGCAAAAACCTAGCTACTGTGTTTCTGTCGCTCGGGCAATACGACAAGGCTCAAGAGTATCTCCAAAGAGCCATTTTAATCATAACTGAAACTGACGACAGAAAAGGGGAAGCATCATGTTATGGAAACCTTGGTACTGTGTTTCAGTCGCTCTGGCAATACGACAAGGCTAAAGAGTGTCTCCAAAAGGCGCTCGCCATCAGATCTGAAATTGGCGACAGAGAAGGAGAGGCAACTGACTACGAAAACCTAGGTACTGTGTTTCTGTCGCTCGGGCAATACGACAAGGCTAAAGAGTATCTCCAAAAGGCGCTTGTCATCAGAACTGAAATTGGCGACAGAAAAGGAGAAGCATCATGTTATGGAAACCTAGGTACTGTGTTTGAGTCGCTCGGGCAATACGACAAGGCTAAAGAGTATCTCCAAAAGGCGCTCGTCATCAGAACTGAAATTGGCGACAGAGAAGGAGAGGCAACTGACTACGGAAACCTAGGTACTATGTTTCGGTCGCTCAGGCAATTTGATAAGGCTGAAAAGTATCTCCAAAGAGCGCTTGTCATCAAAACTGAAATTGGTGATAGAAAAGGGGAAGCATCATGTTATGGAAACCTAGGTACTGTGTTTCTGTCGCTTGGGCAATACGACAAGGCTAAAGAGTATCTCGAAAAGACACTTGTCATCAGAACTGAAATTGGCGACAGAGAAGGAGAGGCAACTGACTGCAAAAACCTAGCTACTGTGTTTCTGTCGCTCGGGCAATACGACAAGGCTCAAGAGTATCTCCAAAGGGCCCTTTTAATCATAACTGAAACTGACGACAGAAAAGGGGAGGCATCATGTTATGGAAACCTTGGTGCTGTGTTTCAGTCGCTCTGGCAATACGACAAGGCTAAAGAGTGTCTCCAAAAGGCGCTCGCCATCAGATCTGAAATTGGCGACAGAGAAGGAGAGGCAACTGACTACAAAAACCTAGCTACTGTGTTTCTGTCGCTTGCGCAATACGACAAGGCTCAAGAGTATCTCCAAAGAGCGCTGGTCATCAAAACTGAAATTGGCGACAGAAAAGGGGAAGCATCATGTTATGGAAACCTAGGTACCGTCTATCTGTCGCTAGGGCGATACGACAAGGCTAATGAGTATCTCCAAAAGGCGCTCGTCATCAGAACTGAAATTGGCGACATAGAAGGGGAAGCATCATGTTATGGAAACCTAGGTACTGTCTTTCTGTCGCTCGCGCAATACGACAAGGCTCAAGAGTATCTCCAAAGAGCGCTGGTCATCAAAACTGAAATTGGCGACAAAAAAGGGAAAGCATCATGTTATGGAAACCTAGGTACTGTGTTTCTGTCGCTCGGGCGATACGACAAGGCTCAAGAGTACCTCAAAAAGGCGCTTGATGTCAGAACTGATTTTGGCGACCGGGAAGGAGAGGCAACTGACTACGGAAACCTAGGTACTGTGTTTCTGTCGCTCGGGCAATACGACAAGGCTCAAGAGTGTCTCCAAAGAGCGCTTGTCATTCAAACTGAAATTGGGGACAGAAAAGGGGAAGCATCATGTTATGGAAACCTAGGAACTGTGTTTCGGTCGCTTGGGCAACACGACAAGGCTGAAGAGTATCTCCGAAGAGCTCTTGTCATCAAAACTGAAATTGGCGACAGAAATGGGGAGGCATCATGTTATGGAAACCTAGGTACTGTGTTTCTGTTGCTCGGGCAATACGACAGGGCTAAAAAGTATCTCCAAATGGCGCTTGTCATCAGAACTGAAATTGGTGATAAGGAAGGGAAAGCAGCGGATCTTGCAAACCTTGGAGATTTGTCGAGAGCTCTTGGAGATTATGAAGCCTCGGAAGTATGCTTGCAGAAAGCTTTATCCATATCCAGAGATATTGGAGATAGGAGAAAAGAGTTCGAAATCCTTCAAAAATACGCCATTTTGTATTTATCGCAAAATAAAAACAAAGAATCCCTTTTGTGTCTTCATCTGTGCATTCAAAAGTATGAGGAGCTGAGATATTTCTTGGGCGCCAATGATCAGTTCAAAACATCATTTCTGGAGCACTCAGGAATATTTCCTTACAAGCTGCTTTGTAGGTTGCTTTGTGACACCGGAAATGCTCGGGATGCTCTTTATGTTGAGGAGTTGGGTCGAGCTAGAGGCCTATCAGACTTAATGGTAGAGAAGTACTCGGTTGAAACGCACATCTCTGCTAATCCGCAATCTTGGTTTGGCGTTGAGAACATACTTAGAAAGGAAAATAACTGTGCTTGTTTGTACATTTCTTATTTTCACAATGATTTGCATTTGTGGATCTTAAAAACGAGTGGAGTCCTTCACTATAGAAGAATATCAGTGGACGAGAATCTAGTTCAGGCTGGGTTGCCCAAAGATTTGTCTTTGAGTAAATTTTTGGAGGATAGTTTCCGGCATCATGGTATTTCATCTATTAAAGATTGTGAAGATCAGTCTTTAAATACGGTTAAATTACAACCTCTCTCCCCCACACGGAAGAGCTCAGCAAGATTGCGACTCGTGGAGGAGGTAGAACACAAAGATGAGGACGAGGAATTGATTTCAAGTCTATCTTTGTGTTACAAAATGTTTATTGCTCCCGTTTATGATTTGCTTGAGGAGCCTGAAGTCATCATCGTTCCTGATCGCATTTTGTACAAAGTTCCCTTTGCTGCACTGAGTGAAGAGGAGGGAGCCCAATACCTCTCAGAGACTCATAGAATCCGTGTCATTCCTTCTTGACAACACTCAAGATTATTCAAGATAGCCCAGAGGACTATCACAGCAACACTGGTGCCTTGATAATAGGCAACCCTAAGGTTAATTGGCTGCCGCCATTCCCAGGTGCAAGAAAGGAAGCGGAGATGGTCGGACAACTGGTGGGTGTTCCGCCTCTGATAGGAGAAGAAGCAACGAAGCAGGCGGTGCTTGAGCGGATAAGTTCAGTGAGCCTGATTCATTTTGCTGCCCATGGTGACGCCCAAAGGGGAGAAATTGCCCTTTCCCCTATCCCTAGTACTTCCAACCGGCGAAACGCTATCTTACCACATGAAGATTACATGTTGAAGATTACATATTGACGATGGCTGATGTATCACGAGTGAAAGTCAGAGCTAAACTGGTGGTACTTAGCTGCTGTCACAGTGGAAGAGGTGACATTAGAGCCGAGGGAGTTATAGGAATTGCCCGTGCGTTCTTAGGATCCGGTGCTCGCTCGGTGTTGGTTGCGCTGTGGGCCATTTCAGACTCAGCAACAGAGCAGCTGATGAGTCGGTTCTACGAACACCTTGTAGAGGGAGAAAGTGCCAGTGAATCCCTCCATCAGGCCATGAAGTGGATGAGAAAAAGCAAGTCTACCAGTGTGTCTGAGTGGGCTTCGTTTACGCTGATTGGAGATGATGTGAGACTCGGGTTTGACAAGCAGAGGTAAGACTCAGTCCGAAAAGATATTTCACAAATTAAAGTCTAAGCAGATGTGAAGGTAGCTGTGGTTTACTAGTCGCTGTCGGCGGGGGTAGTTTGTTACCATCAAGGGTAGTTCGATATATATCCATATATATATATATATGTATATATATATATTTTTCTTTTTTCTTTTCGGAGAGTTACTATCGACGCTCTCTGGTGTAAATATAGAATCTCGAAAGGGCCTCTCTGCCAATCACATACAAGTGCTAGCCATTTATATTTTTAGATATTGAGCTTGGTATAATTGTATTTGCTTTATATCCAAAATATTAATCGAGTTAATAATAAATTGCTGTTTTTTTTTTCACTTTTTTTACAGAGAAAGAGACCCCGACAGAGTAAATAATGAGAATCACTCGAAGGAAACAGAGCCAAAAGACTTTTAGATGCATAAATTGAATAGAGCAAAGTAGAGAACATACTTTATCCAGTATTTCATTGAAATTAAAAAAGGAGCTATCCCAAATTAGATCTAGTTCAATTTTTTGTGCTTTCTTTTTCAATATTGTTAAAAGACAAAATTTGTATCTATCCAGTGTTTTTTTTTACTTATTTAAACGTTGGAAATGAATGGAAATAGTATATTAGCATAAGCCATTCAGTAAGCATTATAATAAGCCACTTGATCATTTCTTATTCCTGTTGGCGGTCTTATCTTACAGGTATAATTTAGCACGCTCGACACCTCTTTTTCATAGGGGTGACTTAAGGTGTAAACAAGTAGTACTTTTTATCCTCCGCACTGAATTTATAATATAGCACGTAGCTCTTTTAGGGGCAGTACCTTGGGTACGCCCTTTCTTCTCCAAATTTTCTGTTTATTGTACTGTTGTGTAACAGTCTTCGAGGAGTATTTCCTCTTAAGATATATTTTCAAGTATGATTCTAATTCTGTTGGTAATTTCATTACAATTTTTATATTATCAATCTTGTTTTAGTTATGACCAACATTGACTGTAAGACTAAGAAATTTAAGGAAGAAAATGATTTTGTAAAGCGTAAACATCTCGAAGGTATCTACTTAGTATGCGAACTCCACTCTGCGTAGCCTAACGTGATTCGCTAGTTGAGTGTAAAAGGATGACGAAGGTTAGAGATTGGCAGCTCAGTAAGCGTCTCTTTTATAAGCGGAGACCCACATTTTTCTTGTTAGATCTGAGTTAGTCCCGAGGTAATAAGTTTTTATGTAAGAAAGAAAAGAATAAAGAAACCTTCAACTGAACAACGCAAAAATTTTATTTCCAATATAATAAGCACAGATAAACGTTGATGTATGTAAGGCTTTAAAGTAAAGCGAAATCAGTAAAGTTAAAAGAGGGTCTGAATGGGGTTAAATGACTAGCGACAAAGGGCGTAAAAAATTACTGATGACCGACGAAACGGGGAAAAAATTACCGACTAGCGACAAATAAATTCTAACCGACAACTGACATGGTCAGACGTGATAGGGATGTTTGTATTCAGAAAGAACAGCATTTTGATGATTTCTAGCTCAGAAAATCCTTCTTCACCCGACGTACCCACATTAATTCCAAATTTAGCCGAATTATAGAATTTCTTGTCTTCAAATTACTTTAAATCCACGGGATCCTTCTTTTCGGGCTGACAAGACGCCCTGCTGTCTCATTTCAAGAACAGCGCATCACAATCGAGCCGACGAGACGCCCTGCTGTTGTGTTTTTACTGTGCTCGATGTTTGTTCATGCGGTCGGGTCATGACTGGGATTGCTAAAGTCATCGTGAGTTTTTTTCGAAAAGGTGAAGAAGTCGCCATCGAACGTCATCGAAGCAGGGTCCCAGTAGACAAAGAAGCTCATAGAGGAGTATCTGAACTAAAAAAACATCTTACGGAGTTTTTAGGACTAAAGGAGCAGGCACATCAATATGGAATTGGCGGATTTTCGTAAAAGTTATTTCGCCTGGCGAAATCGCCTGCGGGCAAATGCGAAAATTTTGCAATTGTGACGGATGGGCAATGGCAGCTTGAACTTCCAAATTTAATATCGGATGAAAGTAGCAGTGAGCTCAACGGTAAGTGTGGAACGCGTGCAGCGGAGTTTGATGAATCACTTTAGTTCTGTAGTTAAATATTAAGCTCAAATATTAACGTGGTTAAACTCTGGTTCCACCGTTTTTTGTTTGTTGTTTTGTGGAGCGGAATGTTTTTTTTTTCTTTTTCACCGTCCATTTGAATGCGAAAATTGAGAAGAAAAATCTCTACAAAGAAGTAGCGAGTAAATCAGTTTATAAGCTTCTTTCTGATTAATTGGTGAATGAACAACAGTGTAGCTTAACATATTAAAGACCCCGTTTATTTATACACGCCCTTAAATTTATTCGTTTCTGAAAACCAGACGTTCAAATAATATTCAATTCTCTCCTCGAGGGAAGCTACGCACGAGAGATTTCGCTCGATGTGTACGTTTTATACATCTTGACGAGCATTTGCTGATAAGAACTGTGTAACTTTCTCAAAAGCCTACTAAAGAAAAAACTTAAAACACACGGTATTTAATATTTTAGTACACATTATCCAAGAGGTCACAAACTGGACCGGAAAGCCAGTAGTGTTGCTGAAGGCGCCGGCTACATCTGATAAAAGCAAGCAGAAGTCAATGAACGACACTGAGAAGAAAGGTGACGAGTCAAAAGTGAGAAGGAAACGGAAATCACGAGAAGAAGCAAAAGAAGATGAAAATCTGGCAAAGAGGATCATGACTGAAGGAGGTGACATCGAGAGAAACGAAAGGCAACAAGGAGAACTTCAAAAGTTTCAGGATGGTAGGGCTGAATTAGCACTTGTAGTTCGTTTACCTGATTTTCAAAAGTCATAAATTTCGCTACTTTGGAAATTCTGCGGTATTCCTTGTTTATAAACACTGCCTTGTTTATACAACGAAAAACGCTCACTTGGTGCGTTCGCTATGTAAAGATAGTTTTTTTAAATTCCGGCTAAAAACTGTTATCACTTTGATGGGCATTGTGGCGCATTTTGCGTGCTAAAATAAAGAATTTGAACAATTGGAACAATTTGCAAGGAATCTCTGAAGCGCACATCTAGATGGGCAGCAAAGTACTACACGCATGACAAATCCTACTATCCGGTACCTCAATCCGCCATGCCCCTTTCTGCTATAGCTACGATGACACCTTTGCCAAGTGAGGACATAACACCAGGGATGGAAGGACAGATCAAAGAGTGGCTAGAGAGTTACAGACCAGTACGCCAACGGACGGTTAGGAGTGAGACCACAAAAGATAGGGCTGGGGCCTTGCCGCCAGCTGTCTACGCCGTTCACCACACCGACGAGTCTGAAGAGAGGCTTCGATATCCTGAAGAAAACACTGTATCGTCAGCAAATGCACAACGCGTTGTCAGCATACAATTTGTGGACGAAGGGGATGTTACTGAGGTGTTTGAGGATCCCAGAGAAGTACAAATCGATGAGTATGAGACAGATTCGGATGACGAGGAATCAGATTTTGAAGAACATCCAGAGGTTGTCAACAGAGCGTGTGTTACCCGATCCGGCAGGGCTGTTCGTGCATTTGTGCGTCTCGACATGTAAGAGGTACTAATAGTTAAAAAATCCATTTAACGGTGCAGATTGATACGTATGACAACCAATTTTTTTGGCAAAAAAAAAGAGAAAAAAAAGAAACCTCGCAGAAAAGCCACGAGAGCCGTTGAATAATAAGTGTAGTGAGTTTTTGTAGACGTCTCGGAAAAAAGACTTCCGTAGCTTACAAATTAAAATTAGGTATCCCAGGGGCTAGAGTGGGTGTTTCATTCTTTGTAGAATTTACCTCTCTTGATTTACTTCGATGCCCCGTAGTCGACAGGAAACAAATTCACATCTATAATAAAGCTTTGCTGAATTTTATCGGTACACTAGATTTGCAAACAAAAGTGGGGTAGATGAGCACGTTGCTAAATTAAAAAACAGCGTTAACGAGGTTTAAGTGAAAACAAATAATGAATTATTACAAGTATTACACTTCGTCTATAGTTTAAAGTCATAAAACTGGGCAAATTGCATAATAAATGTGAATAATTAACGTGTATTTTTAATTATTAACTGAGATTTACCGACAACCGACAAAGGTCAAAAATCTTAACCGACAACCGACAAAGGTCAAAAATCTTAACCGACAACCGACAAAGTAATGAAATTTTAACCGACAACCGACATTTTGACCCCCCCATTCAGACCCTCTTAAAACAGTAGTTTAGATATAAAACGAACCACTAGAATCTGGTTAAATTTTTTTTCAAAGCCTTTTGTAAGGTTTAGTTAACAAAATCTTCAATATTTGAGGAATAAATTTGATGTAGCATCTTAAAAGATCCTTGTCAACCACTCCTCTTTCAAAATGAAATCAAAACTAATCTATGAAGACAGAAGTTTAAAATCGCTTCCGGATGGCAGGAATGTCATGCAGGCTCGTCAATACTTCAAGTTTCAACTGATCACTTGCCTCTTGTGATATGTGAAACAAGAGACTAACAAAACGTATTGACTATCGTACTGATTAGCGATCGGTCAGCGTTTTAACGAGCAACTCTTTTTTAAAGAAATGGTTTGTGTTCTTTCCTATTTGAGTTTAGAGAGCTTGAGCTATTTAAACCTGTATGAACATTTCAGGACCAAACTACAGGGAGCCATTGATATAGAACAGTCAGAGTTTGCTCAACAGACTAATTTGCATAATTCATCTGTCACGGTAGCAAAATCACTAAAAATTTGAAGTCACTGCGGCGAAGGAAATTAACAAACGCAAGATTTTTTTGTATTTCTATACTTTCGAACATCTTATTAGAAGAAATCAACCGGACTTTTTAACGTCTAAAGTCACCCATCACCCCACAGAGACCCTCAACTAAACCAAACAAGTTAAAAATGTTTGCCTACAGCTTGTTTTAATACATCGAGGTTGCACAAATATTGAAGCGATGGTTATATAATACAATGCTACGAGTTTTGTCTCGTGATCTGATAAATCATGTATCCTGGCTTGATTACAACTGATTCAATATTACAACTGTGTTATTTACTGAGGCTGCACCGAGAATATTGCAAAGTTAAAACAAGTTTCCTCACCGCCGGCCTAGTGTTGGATCAGAAAAAACGAACAGTGTTATTCAATATTCTGATGGGTTTGTTTTTTTCTCTTGTTTTTCGACCATTATAAGCAAGTGCCACATGAAAGTCTTTTCACTTTTCGAATCATCTCTCAAAGATCCAAATAAACTAAATTGAATTTTTGAACAATTTATCATTGTAACTGTTGCAATATTTACGCATTTATGGAATTCATAAAAAAAAAAACTTTGAAAGAACTAAGTTGGCAGTTACGCCCTGGCGCGCGCAATTACGGACTTTCATTTTTAGGGCTTGTTTACATGGAGGTGGGGGACCCCAGGTAGG